TGAAGTATAACTTGTAATACGGATTTCTGTTTCCTTAGCCCACTTACAAAAAGCGAAGGTTGGATGAGTGTGAAGAGGCCTTTCAAGGTAAGAGCCGCCCCACCCCATTTACCCCCTGGCTTACAGCCTTGAGAAGCAGATGGGTCTGGTGTTCTCCTGGCCTGGAAGCAGAATCTGATTTTATTTCCCAGAGTTAGCATTCCCAAGTCTTCCAAATATGGTCATTATTTAGCACTCTAAACCTAACTTTCCAACAAAAAGGGAGGGTTGAACTTAGTTTGAACTAGCCAAAGGAGAGGGGTTAGGGGTAACTACACACTGCAAATTTTTCACAGAAGTCCCAGTTCCGTGTTATTTTTTCTCTTTAATAATAGTTGGCACATTAAATCTTTAGAGCATATTTTAATTTCCTTATTCTTCAGACTTTGGACATACTTTAAACACTCATTTTTTAATCTCTACATTCTCTTTGCTTCTGTTGGTGGTGTCAGTGTTTGTTGTGACAGATAAAAGACAGAGGTCATAGCATCTCATGGGTCTGGGGAGGAAGGGAAAGGTGGAGGATGCTATGTCCTGTCCCCCACCCCAATCATTTGGCCTTCTTCATGTCCCTGCCAGGAACCAAGGTGTTTGTGATGCCCAATGGGATGCTAAAAAGCAACCAGCAGCTGGTGGACATTATTGAGAAAGTGAAACCTGAGATCCGGCTGCTGATTGAGAAATGCAACACGGTGAGGCAGGGGCTAGTGACCTATGGGCTGACTTCAAACAGCCTGGTTTGAACTATGAAAAATGATGGATGGTGGGGCTGGAGGCATGAAGGTGATATGGGTGTTGGCAGACTAAGTATCTTGGCTCCTGTGCTCCTGGCATCTGGCCCCAGCAGCATGAATTGTATACTTCATGGCATCAGCAGAAAAGGCCATGGTCCTCATAAATATATTTTTTGGTCTTCTCACCCTCCAGGTCAAAATGTGGGTACAGCTCCTGATTCCTAGGATAGAAGATGGAAACAACTTTGGGGTCTCCATTCAGGTAATGTGCTTTCATTACACACTAGAAAGGAAGGTTTGGGAGATACTCTTACCTTCCCTACTTAGTCTGTTTTTCCTTTCTCCTTGGTCTACTGTGGAGTGATGTGGAAGTAACTTTTGACTCACTGTTTTTTTCAGGAGGAGACAGTTGCAGAACTAAGGACTGTTGAGAGTGAAGCTGCATCTTATCTGGACCAGATTTCTAGGTAGGGCTGCTTGGGGCTTGGCCCAGGAATTGGGGGCTGGTGAGGTAGTAAGTGCTGTCCAGGGTCTCCTGCAGCTTCCTCTTTTTCTCTTTCCTTCCAGATATTATATTACAAGAGCCAAATTGGTTTCTAAAATAGCTAAATATCCCCATGTGGTAAGTAAGGGTTTTGTGCCCTGAGGGTGGAAGTGGTAGGATAGGGAGGAGTGACTGTTACTGGGAAAGAGATGTCCGTGAATAGTTCAGCCTTGGGAATGAACCTTTTCTCTGCCCCTTCTCTCAGGAGGACTATCGCCGAACTGTGACAGAGATTGATGAGAAAGAATATATCAGCCTTCGTCTCATCATATCAGAACTAAGGAATCAATATGTAAGTAACCTGGACCACTGCCCACGGTTGCCCTGGCTTTTCTTAATTCTGACAATAAATTTCTTGCCACTCTCTGGGGGTCAAGATGGGAGATGGAGGTAAAATTAAAAGAACAAGTTCTGCTTATCAACCAAGTGTCAAGAACTATGAAGTTGAGGGTATATAACTGGGTATCTCCCTTCTTTCTACCTGAATGGAAGGGAGTGCTATATAGTATAGGGGACAGACTTAGGTTTGGAATCAACTTTACCTGTAATGTGTGGCCTTGGGCAAGTTGTTTAACCTTAGACTTCAGTTTCTTCATCTCTAAAATGGAACTTAGATTAACATGAGTATCTACTGCACAAAGATGATTTGTTTGTTTTTTTAAAATATGTTTTTATTGATTTTAGAGAGAGAGGAAGGGAGAGTAATACAGGGAAACATCAATGAGAGACATTGATCAGCGGCCTCCTGAATGCCCCCTACTGGGGATCAAGCCCACAACCTGGGCATGTGCCCTGACTGGGATTCAAACTGGGGACCACTTGGTTCATGGGTCCATGCTCAATCATTGAGCCACACTGGCAGGGCACAAAGATGGTTTTTTTTAAAAGTGAGATAATACATCAAAGGAGCCAGTGTAATTCTTGGTATGTTAATTGCTCAACAAATGTTAGTTATTAGACATTCGGGACTTTGGGAAAACCGAGGTATACCTAGTTTGGGGATATAAGAGAGGGGCAGCCATCTTGATTTCAGGTTCAGATGAGTGAGAATAGGATTATGTGAATGATTGCTTGGGGAATTGGTTGGGAGGGATCTTTTCTTTTTGAGATAGGAGTAGAACAGATGTGTGATTCTCTGATCTCTTTTCTCCCAGGTCACCCTACATGACATGATCCTGAAAAATATTGAGAAGATCAAACGGCCCCGGAGCAGCAATGCAGAGACACTGTACTGAGGCCAGGGCCAGGGCCAGGGGACTCTGTGAGTCTGGCTCAAGACCGACATTGCCTTGGTTTGTTACATGACTATCGTGATGGGGAAACTGGCTGGAAGTAGTAATCACCTCTCTCTGTTTTTAGTTAGAGTCTAATGAAACTCTCATGTAGTTCTGTGACGTGTTTACCTCTTTTTTCAGGCCTCAGGAACTCTTCTATTTCCTTCCCTAATACCCCACGCCTGACCTGTCCTAATTTCTAGAGAACTCCAGGTTTGTGTGCACAGGATTTTGGCACCGAAATACTTGTGTTTTCTTTCCCCACCCTCCTCCTGTGTCTTGGGCTCTGTGTTTTTTTTTCATTTTGATGATTAGTTTAACAGGAGCTGAGGGAACTAGAAGGAAAATGCTAGGGTTTTGTTTGTTTTTTTTAGGATCTGGGGTCAGGGAGACCAGCTCCTCTCTTCTCATGTAAGGTTAGTATCTCTTGCCAGTGTGGGATATTGGATCCTCCCTGCCGCAGTTGTCCTGGTGATGACTTTGGGTTTTCCATCTGCATACATGGCAAGAAATACCATAGACCTCAGCTAAGACCCTAGTTTCTTCAGATGTTTTTATAACTAGAATTTTCACATATACATTGTGCATGACAGACATATATACAGACATGCACACATCTGCCTTCCTACTCTGCTCTGTTACCTGACTCCATCCCCCCAAACCCTGTTACACACACACACATACACACACAGAGACACGTGCACACACACACTGTTTAGGAGGCGATACTTGTCTTAGTTGTCATCCACTAAGGCCCATCGTCTCCTGATATTATAACCTCTTGGTACCCAGAGGCTGGTGAGTTGGAGGAGAGCCAAGAGGCAAGAAGCTCCTCTTGGGGGAAGGCTCCTTTCTCTGTGACCCGGGTCCTTTTGGGCATTATTGCAAAGGCCAGTCCTCTGACTCCTGATTGCCTTTTTCCAGACCAGTCGTAAATTGAGGGAGGGGAGGGCTGTCTACAGCTGTGAGGGCCAGATGCTGCTACTCCTGCTGGGCTTTTCCTTTGGGAAAAATATTTCTCTTATTTATAGTATTGTACTTCCAGGGAAAGCAGTCACTTATGTGTGTATGTGTGTGCATGCACACACAGGCATGTGCACATTGTGTGTATGTGGAAATCTGCTGGGCACGTCAAAACCATAGAAGAGTTGCCTCCTATCTCGAATCTTCCAGAGATATTCCCCACTTTTTTCTACCACTACTAGAGAGTCAGCATCTGCAGCCAGCCAGCCAGTGGCTCTCAGTGTCTGTTTCTGACTTACTCTTCCCGTCTGTCTTCCAAGCCCTAATCGTATTTCCACCCGGATGCATTGTTTTTACTCCCAATATGCTATAGAGAGAAGGAGTCAGGATGCTGTCTTCCCATGAATAGTACTCAGTAACAAACCAATTGCATTTTAGTTGGGCAATGCCCCTACCCACTCTCCAGATCCCTTCCACCATGCATTTGTTTCCCTTTTTGTTGAATTGTTCTGCTGCCCTTCCTCACCCTACCACCCTTGGATCGTAATGTAAAATTCTTTTACCATGTCAAGAAATTATTAAAAATACAGGTACTTTGACCTCTTTCTAAAGCTGCAGACCCTGGTGCGATGCTCTGGTGGCTAGGGACATACCCATACTCACATGTGTGCGCATTAGGATACCCACCTCCACATACACCACCAGCCATCCTATTGGGTGTCTTTATACTAATTGAGCTTCCTCTTTTCTCTGGAATAATGGAAAGATTGAGGTTTCTGCCTACCAAGAGGCAAGGGTGGGTCCTTCATTTGTGTACAGTCTGAATTATGTGAAAAATAGCTCTTCCCAAATCTAAGCTGCCTTCTCTCCCAACCCTCAACAAGATCCCA